GAAGCTGGTGTGTTACGCCGAAAGGCGGTTATACCGGCTATACAGATACAGATACAGAAATCTATAACCCCCCCCCCCCCCATACAGACCCTCATATAGCGCTTCTCTTGGCTTGGCTCATATAGCGCTAGATACCTACAAAACAGCGAGGTTACATGTCTGACTCCAAGGGTCGTTTACAGCTGTCTTAGCAGGTGTATAACTTTCACTGATGATGGCAACTTTCACTCCACATTTATTATTATAGTAAGTCTGGATACCATCATTATATATGACTAATAAGTTTCATTACCACGCAGCATGGTTTGTATGCAATCTGTGTTGCGATCTTTAAACTCACAACAATTAAAACGCCACAACAATTAAGAAAGTACTGGGTAGGCTAATAATAGTTTAATTTATACTTCTCAAATCTGGGTCAATGTACTACTAGTATTAGTAATCTAGCAAAGATCTGTGCGCTAAGAATTAATCTGCTTGCTGTGAACTTGTTTATTCATATTTCATGAAATACTCTAATTTTTCTACATTGCTACCATGGGTACTATTAATTATACTATAATTTCAGAACAAATTGTAATATTTGTGTTTCCCTCCTGTCTTCTGCAGGTAACAGTATAAGCTACAGACAACTACGTACAGTTTCGGAATCCATGATGTCAGCGGCAGAAGCAGTTTTCTGAGATTTCCTTCAGTTTGTCCCGAATCCCCCCCACGCCTGGATGGACCAGTCCTACAGCAGCAGTCGTGACTGTGCGTTTGTCATGACTACGGCGGGCCGTACCACATGAATGCGGGGGCCATGAGGTTGGACCGCGAACCCGCCCGACGCAACCGCACGACAAACGCGATGACATCATCACGCGAGCGACGGGGCGCCAGGCATGCTGGGATGCTGCCGTCGGACGTGGAACGGAGGCTGGCCGCGCTCCAGAGCGAGGTGGCGACATTGAAGAAGGACAAAGGTCGCATGGAACAGCTGCTGTACCGTAAGGCGGTGGACGAGGCCACGAGGTCACCGAGGTCACCGTCACCTCAGGACGCGGAGGATCGCAACAAGTGGGAGAAATGGGCCTGGAGACAGAGACACCAGAAGGTAGTCTGAAACACACTGGGCTTTGTCTGTCTGTTTGTTTGTTTGTTTGTAAGGCCACTCACTCACTCAATCACTCAATCAGCTTGCACAGAGGGCCAACCAGTGCCCTCCTTATACTCTCCAAGCAGAGGTTGGTGGGGAAAATCGTGACGTTAACCGGGCGCATGATAAAGAACGTCACGATTTTCCCCACCAACCTCTCCTTATGCATCTCGGTCTGTAAGTTAGTACTCTGTAAGAAAGGCCACAGCATGTAAATTTTATCGATGTCAAATATCCTCTGCAGATTTTAAGTCTAATACAAAAGGGTGAAAAATAATTCCTGCAAAAATTCAACATGCAAGCAAGATGGAAAGTAGAAGGCTGGGAAGAAAAACTTTATTCTATATTCACTCCCTGAAACTGTGTGTACCAAAGTAGATGAAAAGAAACCTACAGTGGACCTCACTGGAAGACAGAAGAAAGATGTCTAGACTATGCATGATGTACAAAATAAACTGGTGGATGTCCCAACTACTAAGTACCTAATACCAGCCCAGAAGAGAACAAGAAATAGCCACGCATTCAAGTACCAGAGTTATCAACCAAGGATTGAGGTGTTCAAGAATTCATTCTTTCCTAGAACTATCGCAGAGTGGAACTCACTGTCACCAAGTACAGTAGGGGCATTGTCAATAGATAGCTTTAAACAATGTCTAGAGCTAGAAGTTCAAGGGTTAGGTGTAACAAGTCGATCGGTGTAATATAGCCAGCTGCCGCCGCGCCGCATGCCTGCGAAGCTGGTGTGTTACGCCGAAAGGCGGTTATACCGGCTATACAGATACAGATACAGA